CTCCACACATTTCCTTTAAAGCAAAATAATATGACAAGGGACCCTCTCCAGACACTAGGCCCAGCACAATACCCCTTCCCACCTCCTCCCCAGCAAGTTACCACTTCACCAGGGGGATTCTTCATGTGCTACTGCACCTTTTTAGAGAGCTCTGAGCTATTCTTGTTCTGATATTAATTCCCCAATCTGCCTACTATAAGCTCTGATAGCACCGTTCTCTATTTCCTGTAGGCCTTGGCATAGATGAGAGCCCACATTTGTGAGATTATTTGATTTATATCGATCACTCGCAGTAATCAGTAAACTTCTGGAAAGAAGTGGCTTTCTCATGTTTGGTCCTCATCACATGCCTGCCTGTTCCTTAATAGGTATTGTCTGGTACTTAGTAGGCTATTTAGTCTACATTTAAATAGACAAATGAATGCATGAATCTACATTCAATCAATAAGTTATAATTTGATATTTAAAACAAGAAATCAGAAGTAATTTTTAAAGTTATTTAAAATTAACTTTAATTAATGTTACAACAAAATTACCTCTTCTGACCTACTGCCTGCAAACAATTCCATGATTTTCAATTCACTCTCAAAACTCTAAGAAAAATAGCTCAGAGCAGTGTGAGCTGTATGAGGTGTGCACAATTTATCAGGCCCAGAGAGACAGAGTGTGGGATTGTAGTCAGTAACTCCCACCAAACCCAGGGGTGATTGTTTCAAGACATTTTGTTCCTAACTGCCTCATCACTTATTTCCATGTTTTCGGAATTTGTGATGAAAAGAACGATGGATAGCCAATGAATAGCTTATGCTATTTTAATGCAAATTCTTGATAAACAATTTGGGAACTGCGTCTTCATTTCCTATAAAAACCCACTTGTAACTGCTTCTGATGGGAGCATGTATTTAGGGTACCTTAAGTCTATGCTCTCAGGTTGCAGCCCTCAAAACTGGCCAAAATAAATGCTCTACTTACATTAAGTTTGCCTCAGTTTTTGTTTTCTTTGTTTGTTTTCCTTTAGGCCAACAACTCAATTCACATGTGACCTCTTCTAGGTAGATTTGAGATTCCTCTAGTCAAATTCAGAAGTCGTTTTCCATTATCTGATGGTACTTTGAATTAATATATCTATATAATAAAGATATTATATGCTTGCACATTTTTCTCTCCACTAACCTTTGAGCATCTGAGGTGAGAAATCATTTCTGTTTGTATTCAAAGCTATCCCTGCAGTACCCAACACAGAGAAGTGTGGGCTTTACCAGAGTTCAATAAACATTACTGGATAAATAAGGGCCTTTTCACCGATTTTTAAGGCTTTGTTAGACACTAAACTCTTTGTTTTTTTGAGACTGTTAGGCACTAAACTCTTTTTTTTTTTTTTTTTTCTGGAGACTGAGTCTCACTGTTGTTACCCAGGCTGGAGTGCAGTGGCATGGTCTTGGCTCACTGCAACCTCTGCCTCCCGGGTTCAAGCAATTCTCCTGCCTCAACCTCCCGAGTAGCTGGAATTACAGCCACCGCCACCACGCCCAGCTAATTTCTGTATTTTTAATAGAGATGGAGTTTCACCATGTTGGCCAGGGTGGTCTTGAACTCCCGACCTCAGGAGATCCACCCGCTTTGGCCTCCCAAAGTGCTGGGATTACAGTCATGATTCACTGTGCCTGGCCTAGGCATTAAATTCTTATTATTCCTCTTTAGCATGCAAGTATTATCTTCCAGTTCTTTCTCATTTAATGTTACCTCCCCCATAAACCTATCTTTCTTAAAATGGTTACTGATTAAAAAAAAAAAAAAAGGTGTGAAGGGTGTATAATTTTCTTCTTTCATTTTTCAGTTGTGAATGTTTTCTCTTGATTTCAAGAGAGAACAGATTTTCTCTTTTGATGACTTTATTTTCTGATTCCTAAACCAGGCTGAGAAGTTTCACTCCTTTGCCTTCAAGGTTCTAGAGGTTATAATTCTATCCTTAGCTCTTTCTTACTTGAGACACAGCAAAGGAGGTGAGTTCATCTTTACTCACAGATGCTTTATTTGCTTTTTAAAAAAATGGTAGGGACTAGATGCTTCTCAGGGAGGGTAATCTACTCCAGTTCTGCAGCGTCGGAGTCAAGTGTTTCCAGAGTATCGTGTTGCTTCACTTGACAAGGTGTTTTGCATCTTGTTAGATGACTATAAAGTGAAACCCATTTCCATGAATGTTTAATGAACTTAAGGGAATGCCAGAGCCAGACAATTCATTTGTTAAACACTGCAATTTGCAAAGAATTTCAAGTAGTTAACATGAGCTTCAAGATAAAACAAAGACAGATTTGTCTGATATGGTAAGCAAGTAGAAAATTTTCTCTTCTAAGGATGAAATATGCCTGAATAACCTGTCACCCCCTGTGTAATGGAAATAAACGCCTGCAGTGGGAAGCTTGGTGATGGAACTTCGTGTTCAGAATTTTCCAATGGTCCCATTTGAAACTTGAGCACGGACTGTGAACTTCGTTACCACTTTTGACATTTTGGGAAGGATAATCTTCTGTTGAGGGAGGTTATTGTGCATTGAAGGATGTTCATTAGCGCCAATGACCGCTACCCACTAGATACCTGTAGCGTTCTTCTCCCAGCGTGTAATAGACAGTGTTTTCAGACTTTGCCAAACGTCAAGGGATGGTGGGCAAATTGCCTTCTGTTGAGAACCACTGACTTATAAGGATGTTGGTTTGTCTTTCAGCTACTTACTAGCTGTCTGACAGACATAACTTTCTCAAGCTCCAAACCTCATTTCTATTTTCTGCACATTTGTGGGTATACATTAGTTGTTGTTAGGACTAAATGAGACAATGCATTTATATTAATTTGTTTCTTTAACAAAAACTGACAGGGATTTTTATGGGTGTTGTGTTGAATTTAAACCACATTGGGTTATATAATCATATAACAATATTATTTTTTCCAATCCATCAATATGGGTTGTATCCCTATTTATATATGTTTTTAATCATTTTGATCAAAGTTTGTAGATTTCAAGGTACAAACTTCTCACCCTTTTACGTTTATACCTAAGCATTTCTTACTTTAAGTTCTCTAGCAAATGGAAGTGTTTTCTTAATTTTCTTTTAAAATTGTTTATTGTTAATGTATGGAAATTCAACTAATTTTTGGTACTGATATTGTATTCTGCAAATTCACTGAATGTGTTTATTAATTCCAGCAGTATTTTGGTTGACTCTTTGGATTTTCTACACAGAAGATCATGTCATCTACAAACAAATATAATTTCACTTCTTTATTTCTCAAAAAAAAAAAAAAAAAGGCCGGGCGCAGTGGCTCACACCTGTAATCCCAGCACTTTGGGAGGCCGAGGCGGGCGGATCACAAGGTCAGGAGATCGAGACCATCCTGGCTAACTCGGTGAAACCCCGTCTCTACTGAAAATACAAAAAAAATTAGCCAGGCATGGTGGCGGGCGCCTGTAGGCTCAGCTACTCGGGAGGCTGAGGCAGGAGAATGGCACAAATCCGGGAGGCGGAGCTTGCAGTGAGCCGAGATCGCGCCACTGCACTCCAGCCTGGGCGACAGAGCGAGACTGCGTCTCAAAAAAAAAAAAAAAAAAAAAATGCCCAGCCACTTCTGTACAAATTGAAGTTCAGTTCAACTATTCCACTATTCCACTAATATAGTGCTGATTAGAATCTATCCTCATCACTTTAACTAGTGTCTGGCTTTGTTTATCTTTGACATAACCAGTTGCTAAGGAATGAAACCCTCCATCACTGTGGTTGTTTTACAGTGGTGGGATTATATCCATTAGAAATCAATAGTAAAACCATTCGCTGTGTTTCTGAAGTGAACAATTCCTGCACATTGCCATGAATAAAAGTTTAACAAAACTTGGCTGGGAAGAGATTCTGATTTATGAATTCCGTGTTAAACCATTTGAGTACATCTGTTATGGATATCATAATAGTGACTTTTTGGGTAATGATTTCTTAGAATCACCAGTGATGTATAAATTTTCAGTGATTTAAGCATTTGGAGGGGTGTGAATGTGTCCTGGATGATTGCCTATTATACTCAAATGCTAGGTTTATGCAGTGGCCTTTGTTCTTTTGTTTTATGCCTCAGATTCTGAAAGTGCAATGCTGTGTGGGGTCAAAGAATTGCTACCCTAAGAAGAATATATCTCTATGTATTACCCAGTATTCTCTTGTCTTTAATTTAGTGTTTCGCAATATAGCTCAGTAATGATTAAAACTGCCTTACAAAAAGTGTAAGAGGCAAAGAGTTTGCATTTAACTTCAAGTTCTGGTATCTCCGTAAGGCCTGGAATTAGAAGGATTGATTCTGAAACTCTACTTCTCATCTTTGATTCTTCTCACACCCTTAACTCAGAGTTCTCTGAACATAACATGCCTTTTTGGGATTCTATGGCTTTATTCATCCTGTATGTTCTGGTGTCTAGCTCTTAGCCCTTTGACTCTGTATAAAACTTTTCATGTCCTTCCAAACCAAGTCCGAGCCTGACTCTGTTGTGAGGCAGCCCCTAAGTCTACCCCCATCCACCTCCCACTGGCTTCCTCTTGTCCAACCTCTGCTGCAACAACAACTATCTCAGAACTCACTTCTGCTGATTCTGGGGTTTTCTGTGTTTCTTCCTACACAGAACTTCCCTTATGGCAAGGGACATTGTATCCTTGGTGTCACATCTTCTGGCACAAACTAAGGATTCGACAAGTGTTCATGGGACAAACAACTGAAGCTCTTATTTTTACCAGAGATTAGTTTATGTTACAGATTGTAATCAAGAGCTGAAATTTAACTTGTCTTTTATCCGATGCATACATGCATGCATGTGTGCATACCTCCCAGCCCAGAATTGTAAGACGATTTAAGCAAAACCCTATAAAGCTCTGAAAAATATATACAAATCTGATCCCAGATTCCCAACATCTCTGGACTGGAAGCACTGAGGTAGGCTGCAGGAGGAGGTGTGTAGACATGTCACTTACATTTTGTAGCTGGACATGGCTCTTCACCAAGTTCTCTGACTTTGCCATTGTGCTGGATGCTTTGAGACTGTAGCTTTTACCATTTTGTGGCACTTTCAGCTGCTCTTGGATTTGTTTAGCTTGTTTCCTGTGGGCATAAATAAACATGTGTACAAATATTTGCATGAATTTATTCAACTCCTACTTTCAGGGCTTCATTCACTCCTAATGTCTATATTTGTTATTTGCTAAAGTTAAATAAACTCAGCTAACAAAGAGAACCCTTCTCTCATTTCCAACCCCACCAAGAAATGCTTCCAGTTTAGCGATAGCCTGATATCATCCATATTCTCTAGGGATTCACATTCAATGGCACCCCAAAAGCAGACAAACATTTAGTGCATTGCCCTGGCCCCCATAGAGGCAGGGAGTCTCTAAGCCTGAGTTTTAGCTGCGAAGAACTGGAAATACTATGGGAAAGTGACTAGAGGAAAATAATTAAGACTTGGGCTTAGCAGGTACATATGACATATTTGTAGAGTTACATTTATATTTGTACAATTCAAATATGTTTGGCTTAATTGCACGACTTGACTATATACTATAATGTGTATATTTTCTTTCTTTTACAATTTAGAAATAGCTCATTTATTGTTGCCAAGAGCCCAAATATTAAAAATAGTTAACTTTTAAAGAGCTAGTAGTTATACAGTAATGTGTCACACATGGTTTTAAGTTCTTTACATGTATCATTTCACATATTTTTCATGATAATTCTACATAATGAGGCCATAATGCTATACCCATTCAGTAGATGAGAACTGAAGCACAGAGAAGTTAAGCCATTTGTTTGAAGTCACATAGTCAGTGAGTGGCAGAGATTGGATCTCAGTCCAGCCAACCTGCCTGCATAGTTTACACTCTTCAACAACCACTCAGAACTGCCAAGCCATGTGTTCACGGTCCCACTGTTTCTGAGTGAAATGGTTGAAACTGCTCTAGGGTTCTCGACTTCAAGTAAAGTGCTCCTGTGTGCACATGTGGAATGACTGTTGTCTGGGTCACTCAGTGCCTATACCAGAAGGATGAGACAAACCACTGCCTTAGCAGCAGCTCTGTCCCAGAAGCTTCACAGAAATCATCTATCAGCATAGACTTGGTACCCATTAAACACACACACACACACACACACGTATACCTCTTTGCAGTGTTGACCTAAATAACAAACATGGAGACTCTGTAAAAGAAAACATTTATGTGGAAATAAGTGTTGCAATGGGAATACACACGATATAGGAAACTAGCTTTTATTTCTAGGAAGACAGGAAACATGAGGTACACAAGTGATTTGAGATAATTATCTCTGGCTACAAGGATCAATAGAAAGGATGGTGCCAGTCCAAGGGTGGACAGGCAGTTGCTGGGCAGATGTCCTTGCAGAAGTATTTTCATGTGTGTCTAAGGCTGCAATAGTCTTCATGCAAAGCTGTGGTTTTTTGCAGAGTCTTTTGTGACAGCTCTTGTAATCAGGCATTTGCCCATTGGACCGCTCCCTTCATGGCCTTCTCCGGCTCTGTTTTTCAGGGTTATTAACACAAATGACTCCATTTTGATTCTGACAACTTTCCCAATAGAATCATGCCGTTGAATTTTGCCTGTCCTCCAAGGTCTCTGACAAAGATACAGCCATCAGTGGAGTATATGGCCAGTCTTGGCAATGAACTTCTCCAGTCAGGTAGCACACTATACAGCATGGCTTCTTGTATAATAGGGACTGGGATTTGAATCCCACTCTGCCACCCACTAGTTTTGCTACCCTAATAATTTCCTAAACTTGTGGAGCCTCCATTTCGTCCTCTTTAAATTAAGTTCATAAAAGCTATCTTCCACGGACACTGTGGTGGCTGCATGTGGGGGCACAAACAAAGTGTTCATCTCTTTCCCGATATCAAGCAAGCTCAGTCTTGTGGGCAGAAGCTGCAGAAGAATCAGAACACTGACCCAAAGATAAAAGATTACACTAGTTGTGTCTTCCCAAGCAATTCACCAGCACTTGCTACAAGCTTTGGAGGCTTTGAGCTTCATTACCCATTTTGAATTTATAATATCAATGTGATGTAGCTCTGTTTTTTAAGATATTTCTTTTTATCTTTCCAATTATTTGGGAGACTTTTATCTCTAGCACTCTTAGTTGCTTTAATCCTGTTGTAATAATCTATTTGCTTCCTAACAGCTAATCTATGGCTTATTGTTAAAAATAAATCTATCATATTGGCATTTTAAGGAGCATGTTACAGCCACAAGATTTTATCAGGGATTCATTCACACACACAAAAGGGGAAATCAGGAGGTTCTAGTCGGGTAAATCATCCTGAAAAAGTAAGAGTGCACGTCGCAGAGCAAGGATTCCATTACTCTAATGGGATAAAATCAGAAACACTTAATGACTTTTTCAATAATCTAATTCAGAGCCCTGGAAGTATAAACTTGTAAAGGAATTTTCTTTATACAATATCCAACATCAGACTGCGTTTCCTAAATCCTTTTATAATTTGCCTACCTTTAGTCTTTTTTCACTCAAGTCCTGACTCAGTAATATTCCAAGATAAGTGGTCCTTCCATTCTGAGCCTGCCTCTGCCTATCTACCATCCCTCCTGTCTCACAAGCACACGCTTTTTTGCTCTTTCCTCCTTCACCCAGCAAATGGGAACAGAGTAAACAATCAGCAGCTGATTGCAATACCATTAGCTCTCTCATGAGAGGCATTGCTCTGGGAATACTACCAGCCCAAGAGTGTCAGTGTGGAAACTTTACAGTCCATTGAGTTTCAAGTTTCTTTGGTGCAATGCATTAGAAAGAAATAAGATGTAAGTTGCAGAATAGTAGACACCGTGAATCCATTGTTAGGCATTATTTGTCTTGTTGCAGATTGGGCTCCTGGGAAGGCAGACTCCGGGATAAAGACAGCATAGAGGACTTTTGTTAGGGAGAGCTCTGGGTATCAACACCTGTGGAAGCAAAGGGAAGAAATGGAAGCAGAATTGGGCTGGGGAGAAGTTGGAATGTGATGTAGTCTCAGAGAAAACCTCAGCAAACCCCACAGGGAGCTCTGAAGCTGGCATGGTCTTGCCCCTGAAATTGGGGAAAAGGTCTAGGTCTTCAGAGACCTTGATGCATCATTGGAGATAAACAATCCCAGAATGGAACATGAGATTGAAAAAGGTGACTTCATGGGTGTTTGCTGGCAAACCTGGGAACTAAATCCTCCATATCTGAAGATCGTAGCACTGCATCAGAGTGTCTGCTGTTAAGAGGCTTTTCTTGGGATCTAAAATCTCTTATTTCAGGGGGTTGATGACCTATAATCAGGGGCAGGTTGTAACCGTGTCTACATTTTACTGATAACACCAATTTCTTCTTTATCCTCCTCTTTTTTCCTATTTGTGTTATTACCTCTCTCAGATTCTGCCTCCTGAAACATCTCCACTCCTATTTCATTGTAGTTTTAGAGTTGAATCATGTTTTGTATTTCCAAGCTCTACTAAGAACTCTAATACTCATCCCCATCATTCTTAACTATGTAAGTTGAAAGTAAAGAGAAAACCTTGAATAATTTATAGTCGTTGCGTGAGCCACATTGGCCAGACCTGAAAGGCTCAATTAATAGTTCCATTAACTATGTATAGGAATATATGAGCTTATTGGGAGTGAAGAGAATTTCTTTCACTGTTTTTTAGAGTTACTAGGGGTTCAGTTAACTCCGTCAAAAAATCCTCTAAATTCAAGATGTTTCTTACTTATTCCTCATCATGTCACCTACCTTCCATCTTTCCTCAGATATACAATTTTCTGCAATATTCCTTCTGATGAAGTCATGCCATGCCAAAGGTGACAAGGGAATGGAAAAAGAATCATAAATGAAAGATCTAAGTGATTATCAGAAGTAGAAGACAAATGATCAAGAGAGCTTTGGGGTAAGTCTCAACTCCCTCTGGGCAGAAACTGTACATCCCAGTATATCGAATGGAGGTTCAGGTGAATTTATTTGAATATCAATGATAGAGAGGCCTTAGAATCCTGGAAGATTGGGGCTTCTAAGCTAAATTTAAAAAAGTATATACATATAAACTACTTTCCTTTATGAGTGAAAGTAAGGGAAGGTCAAGGTAGAGTCTGGATATTCTGTTCTGCCCAAGGTTTTGGGAAAGGAATTAGAAATCCACGAATTCACACACATACACACACACACACACACACACACACACACAACTTGTGCCAGGGTTTTATGAAAATTGATAATTGCTTTTAGCAATATAAATTAGGTGCTTGGTAAGGTTGTGGCATTTCTCTCAAGCAAAGAAAATTAAAGGGAGACCAAGCCTGAAAATGGTACTAGAAGAAGAAATGCACCCTAGGTCTCTAATAAAGAACATATAGCTCATCCAATTCCAGCTGGAAAATACTTCCATTTATATCACTTTATTATTTTTACCTTTAGTTATTAATTGATTCATTTTTTAAATAAAACTGTGTCCTAGGCTGGTAGATAGAAAGACAACAATGCCCCGCTTGGTTGTCCAGCTTCGGTGCAGTCCTCTGAGCCTACCCTAATGAATCTGATGTTGAACACAGTTTTCAGTAAACGCTTTGACCCCTCACTGAGCCCCAAAGTGGGAGGAGTGATAGTAGGAGCCCCACTGAGTGTGAGGAGATGTTGATCTCCAAGCCCACTTGCAGCCCAGAGTGAGACACTGACAGTCCCAGAGATGGAAGTCCCCTGGTAATCCAGCTGTTTGCTCTCATAATTACCATGACCTGTCTTTCATTTAAATGCGGGACAACTACACATTATACTGTAAAAATAAGTGATTAACTGCTTCTTCATTGTAATTTGGTTATTGTTAAGTACGGAATTTCTTTTTTGTACAAAGTTCTAGCAGGGAGACCCTTCTAATTACCGCCCTGCTGAGTGTGATTACCACTCTCGTGCTCCAGGGGAGGCTGCTAACTTTATAGCTACCCAGCCACCAAGTCCTGGTGTGGAAAACCATGGGTGTCAACAACAGCAAGGTTCCATTGGGTAGTTACTCTTTTAAACACTTTGTTATGCCCTTTACATTGTGATTGCATTTTTTTTTTTTTTTTGATACTGAATCTTACTCTGTTGCCCAGGTTGGAGTGCAGTGGTGCAATTGTGGCTCACTGAAACCTCCACCTCCCAGGTTCAAGTCATTCTCGTGCCTCAGTCTCCTAAGTAGCTGGGATTACAGGTGTCCGCCACCATGCCTGGCTAATTTTTGTATTTTAGCAGACATGGAATTTCACCATGTTGGCCAGGCTGGTCTCAAACTCCTGACCTCAAGTGATCCTCCCGCCTCATCCTCCCAAAGTGCTGGGATTACAGGCATGAGCCATTGCACCCGACCATGGTTGCATTTAATCCTTAGCAAAATTCTAAAAGGTAGATATTATATTTGTTCATATTTTACCACAAAGGGAACCAACGCTAAGAGACACAATATAATTTGCCTAATCAAATATAACAATGACAGCTTAAAGATATGAATCCAAGTATGACTCACTAGTGTACAACCCTGACCGTTATGCCAGATGGCAACCTTACAGAACATAAAGTGCTATGGGCTGTACAAAAGAGGGTAACTCCTAACCCACTCTGCGCAGCTCCACCATCTAGCAAAAGGACTATGTGAAACAATATGGTATAGAGGTTTAGAGCATGTGATTTAACCTAGAACTGCTAAGATTAAAGAACCTATCTGTAATTTTCTTCTTTATGACTTTGAAAAATAAATATTTTAAAATAGATTCTGGCATTATTTGAAAATGCAGCAATAATGCACAACTCTGATTGCTGTGGTGTTTGGAAGTTAATACATTAAAAGCCCAGTGTGCCTGGCAAAGAGTAAGTGCTCAGAAATTGGTAGTTACAACTGTCACATCCAAGAGTTGCCTAGGAGAATTAACAGCTAATATCATATGGTAAGGATGGGGCCCTGGCATTAACAAAAGGACCTTAGGTAAATACTAAGGAAATCTGAAAATACAGACTTTAGTTAGTAATACAATATCAATATTGTCCCATTAATTCTGACAAAGGTACCATGCAAATGTAAGCCATTAATAATAGAGGAATTTTGGTTTAAGTATATGGCAACTCTCTGTACTATTTTGGCAACAGTTCTAAATATCTAAAAACATTCTGAAATAGTTTATGAGAAAAATAATGGTTCCTAATTCTGAATTGATGCTTGAGTTTATGTTATTTTAAAAAATCATAATCAGTTCTCTTTGAGAATCAACACAGAAAACATGCAGACAGGTATCACAAACTATACCTGGAAATTAATCCCGTATTAGAAGAGTGAATGGGTAAAAACTTATAGGTCCACTCAGAAAAACAATTACACATTGGCTTGAATTTCAGACAAGCTATAGAAATAAAATCTGCCAAATTCTTAAGGCTCAAGAAACCATGGGGCTAATGTTTTTATCCGCATTTCTTATTTTAAGTGCAGATTATATCCTTTTAATAAATAAACTACCTCTACCAGAGTTCATTTGGAAAAATACACACACGCACACACACATACACACACACACACACACACGCACACAGAGATATGTTTATATCTACTTTTTTTTTTTTCTTTTGAGATGGAGTCTCCCTCTGTCCCCCAGGCTGGAGTGCAGCGGCGTGATCTGGGCTCACTGCAAATTCCGCCTCCTAGGTTCAGGCAATTCTCCCGTCTCAGCCTCCCGAGAAGCTGGGAGTACAGTCGCACACCACCACGGCCGACGAATTTTTGTATTTTTCGTAGAGATGCGGTTTCACCATATTGGTCAGGCTGGTCTCGAACTCCTGACCTCAGGTGATGCACCTGCCTCGGCCTCTCAACGTGCTGGGATTACAGGCTGAGCCACCACACCTGGCCTATATCTATTTCTAGTAAACATAAACACCTTCATCTGAAGAAGGTCTAATTTCTCAGCAAGATAACTTTAGGGCATATTCAACATATGCATATCAATTGGTAAACTAAAGTATATTTTTTAGTATTTATGTTCCATATTTGCCTAAAATCTGTATGAAAAATTGAATTGTTTTTTCATAAATAGATAGATAATGGTTGATAATGTGTAGGTTCATAGCAGTGACCCCTCTCTTCAGAAGAGTTAGCCCTTAGTGACAGGCAGACACCAAGCCTTTAATACCGGCAAGTGGTTAATCAGTGCAAAGAACATAGAATGTTCGTGATCACTGAGAGGAATGATCAGTATGTGCATCAAAGATAAACCGCGCACACATGTGTGCACACACACATCACATACACGCAGGCACATGCCTGTACACACTCACCGCAATTTACAAAAAGGTCCTAAGGCACTTGCAGATTGTTGCTAGACCCATTTCCACAGGTTCCCTCTGTGTGGCGCACAGACCGAGAACTTAAAGTAACAGAAAGTGCTTTCTCGAAAAGTAAACTTTAAATACTTGAGAGAAATGGTCTTACTTGCTTTTGAAGTAGAATGCTGCACAGAACATGCCCACGATGACAATTCCAAAGATGATACATGAAATTGACAGCACCTGCCTTTGATAAACTTCTTCACTCTCTGTGAATTTGAAAAACAAAATTAGAATGGATGCTAGCAGGGCACATCAGCAACAATCTTCATCCATGTACTTCTGAGCTGGTAGGAATCTGTCAAAGCCAACTTTTTTGTTTCTGTCATAAACAGGGAATAAAACGAGGAAATTATTATGATTCAATTTATTTGCAAAGTTCTATAGGATAACTGGGTGCTATTTTTTTTATCTGCATGGCTGCATCAGAACTCATACTCATATACTGCGATTACAAATTTATTATCCACAGACATTCTATGACTAGGATTTACTGGTTACCTAAGTTTGTGAAATTGTGGTAGGGTCCAAATTAATCCGCTAGAGAAACAAACTCAGGTGCTTCTGAGCTTTCCTGTGCCACTGATGCCTTCCAATTTACCTTCCGTGGTGCGGATGCCCCTGTGTTTTCTGATTCTGATTTAGTCCTTGACTGTCAGCCTCCCATTCATCCTACTATCACTATGATTGACAGCACTCATGAAGAAAAAATCAATAGGCATGTAAGTATTTTATTCACCCAGTCTCTGTCCTTCTCAATACCATGATCTGGCACAGAATTCAGTCTCTATTACCAAGGTCATACCTTGTAACTTATCACAAAAAAGACAGTAATTCAGAAACAAACATTTCACTCTGTAGCCACTACCATTTATACTCCTAGGTCCTTTCCTAACCTGTATCTGCCTAAACAATTCTTCCATCTCATCAAGACTTTGTATCCATAGATCCCAGTAGTTTCTCTGTTAATTATCCTCCTCTTGTCTTCATCTTTCTGTTGATACAGGACAGTGACCATGGTCCATGACTACAGTCATTTACTCTCTTGCAAATACTCTTATTTACTTTATCCCTTTCATCTTCCTTTCACCGATTTGGCAAAATAAATATACATAAATCCAAGAAACTGCCTTCTCCATACCTCTACTATGGGCAGCTCAGAATTGGGGAAGAAAACTGTACCACTGGGCAAATGGACACCAATAAAGAACAGCATCACAGAGCTTAAGTAGTCATCTAATAGTCACTAACAATCTCATCAGCCTGCTTTCCTGTTTTCCTAATGATCATCCATATCATCTCCACACTACTCACACACCTGGCACACCTTTCCCTCTCTCGCTCTCAGACCTTCTATACAGGTCATAAGAAAGAAAAAGCCAATTTAGAGGACATTTCCCACTTTTTAACACATATATATTCTAAAAATATACAAAATTAATTGCATCCATATACATTCTCTCTCTGTGTCATTAACATAGAACAATAGTTCTCAAATTGTAATGCATTGGAGTCACCTTGGAGCCTATTAAAAAACAGACTGCACCTACTTCTTTCCCCAGAGTTACTAATTTAGTAGATCTGGAGTGAGTACAGAATATTGGCATTTTTTAAAAGTTCCCAGGTGATTCTGATGCTACTGGTCAGAGAAACATACTTTGAGAACTTTTGAGCAGACTAAGAGTTCTCAGAACATGAATCATCTACATAAAAATCACCTGGGGAGATATGTTTTTCTTTGTTAATACCAATTATGGTTTCCTTCTTTCTAAATCAGGATTTTTTTTAATTAATTAATTTATTTTTTTGATGTAGAGTCTTGCTCTGTCATCCAGGCTGGAGTGCAGTGGCGTGATCCCAGCTTACTGCAACCTCTTCCTCCTGGGTTCAAGTGATCCTCCTGCTTCAGCCTCCCAGGTAGCTAGGACTATAGGCACGTGCCGCCATGCTCAGCTAATTTTTGTATTTTTAGTAGAGATGGGGTTTCACTATGTTGGCCAGACTGGTCTCGAAGTCCTGACCTCAGTTGATCTGCCTGCCTTGGCCTCCCAAAGTGCTGGGATTACAGGCGTGAGCCAGCATACGCAGCCAGGATCTCTATTTAAGTAAAATTTTCAGGTATTTCTCATGCATATTAAAATTAGAACATTATTCAATTATAGCAAGCACTATTTTTTAAAGAAAATAATAATTCCTTTGGGGTTCATTTTTTCCTATCAGAGGCTTCTCATCACTGAAAATTACAGAAAAACAATAGATTCAAATTCATTTTATGATGCCAGTATTATCATGATTCCAAAAAAGACAAAGACCTAACAAAAAATTACAGATAAATTGCCCTCATTGCCACAGATGCAAAAAGTCTTAATAAATTTTAGGAAATAAAATATAACCATATATAAAAAGTATAGTGCATCATAAGTAAGGTTTATACACAAAAATGCAAGGTTGGTTTAATATTTTAAAATTAATCAATATGATTCACCATTTTTACATCTAAGCAGATAATCTAACAACTAGATCAGAGGCAAAAACGTAGCAAAACTTAATATTCATTCTTGATTAAAACTCTCAAAACCTAGAAATACAAGGCACTTCCTCAACCTAATAAAGAGTAGCTATAAAAAAAACCTATATCTAACTGTGAAAGACTGAATGTTTTTTCCCTAAGATCAGGAATAAAGCAAGAATATCCACTCTCATACCTTCTGGTCAACACTGTGCCAGAGGTTTAGTTAATGTAACAAGAAAAAATAGGAATAAAAATCATTCGGCTGAGGGAAGTAGAAGAAAAGTTGTCTTTGTTTGCAAACAACATGACAATTTATACAGAAGAACTGATGGAATCTACAAAAGAGCTAGTATAACTATCAAGTAAGCTTAGGAAAATTTCAGGATACAAGGTTATAGGAGAGAGATACAAAAATAAATGCACATCATTTTATGGCAACAAAGATAATTTGAAACAAAAATGTCATTTACAATAGCATCAAAGCATATAAAATACATAGAGCTCAATTTAACAAAAGGCACACAAGTCTTGTACATTGAAAAGCTTAACAGAAGATCTAAATAAATAGATATAACATGTTTATGGATTAGAAGGCTTGATATTATTAAGATGTCAATTCTCCCCAAGATGATAGACAGATTGATTGCAATGCTATTAAGATCTCAGGAAGCATTTTTGTTTCTGTTGTTCTTGTCATAGAAATTGACAAGCCAATTCTAAATGTTTTATGGAAATACAAAAGATCCTACAGTAGCCAGAACAATGTTCCTGTAGCCAAGAGAACAAAGTTGTAGAATCACATGACTTTATTCTAAGATTTCTTATAAAATTTATAGTAATCAAAGCAGTATGGTATTGGCCTAATTACAGACAAACAAATAATTGCAACAGATAAAACAGTTCGGAAATATAATATTCGACACTCATGTGGCCAATTGGTTTTGACAAAGATGCCAACATAATTCATTGGTGAAAGAATATTTTCAAAAAATGACATTGCATCAATAGTATACATAGCCACATCCACAAAAATGAACCTGGATCCCAATCTCATACTCTATACATATATACACTCAAAAAGGATGATAGATGTAAATGTAAATTTTAAACTACAAAATTAGAAGAAAACATACAAAAAAATCTTAGTGCCATGGATTTGGCAAAGATTTCTTAACTAAAATATGAAAGCTACAAACTAAAAAATATTTCAAAATCAAAATGGACTTATCAATCAACATTAACATTTGCTCTTCACAGACACCATTATGAAAATCAAAAGGCAAGATATAGTCTGAAAAATTGCAAAATATATATTCAATAATGGACTTGTATCTTTAATTTATAAGAATGACTTCTCAATAATAAGATAAGCAAACCAATTTAAATATGAGCAAAACGAGGTTGAACAGACACTTCCCCAAAGATATCTGGATGACAAATAAGTACCTAAAAAGATACCCAACATTGTTCATTATTATGAAATTGCAATTTAAATTATAATGAGATATATGGCACCCCCACTAGAATAGGTGAAATTAAAGATTCACCATACCAAATGTGAAAAGGATGTGAGCAACTAGAACTCTCATATACTTCTGATGGAAAGGTAAAATTATATAGCCATTTCCAATAATAGCTTCACAGAAAGTTAAAAATATACCTACCTTATGATCTAGCCATTCCATTACCCACAACTATTGGGAGTTCAATTTCATTAGGTACCCAAATGTTCATAGAAACTTTATTTGTAATAGCCCTCAAACTGGAAATAACCCAAGGATCCATCAACAGGTAAATGGATAATCAAATTATTATATTTCTATATAATGAAATAGTACTCAGAAGTAAAAAGAAATGAACTATTGATATAAACTACAATATGAGAGAATATCAGAATAAATATGCTGAGTGCAATAAATCAGACAACAAACAGGGTACATGTTGTATAATTCCACTTATTCAAAATTCTAGACAATGGAAACTATAATAACATAAAACATGTATGTAGATTCCTGGAGTCAGGAGTAGGGATTGATAGGGGAGATTACAAATTAATGTGGGGAAATTTTTGGAGGTTATAGACATATTACTTGTCTCAATTACAGTGGTTGTTTCACTGGTGAATACTTATGTCAAAAATGTATCTAGTGATACATTATAAACAGGTGGTTTATCTTATGTCAACTACAGCTGCAAAAATATTAATCCTAGGGTACAAAAGAATATACAAAGAATATGTAGAATATGCAGAATATAAAATAATACATAGCTTTTTATCTTTTAGTCTTCTTTTATGATTATACTCCCATAAACCATTCTCCATGTAGCAGGCTATATAAACCTTTTAATATACAAATTAAATCATATATACACATGTATATGAATGAATATGTGTGTGTCTTCTATTTTTAGTGTGTTATTGGGTTCCTATTTGACTTATAATACCTAAAACTCTTAGTGTGGTCTGAAAGACCTGCCTGATAGACACTGCTTACCCATATCAACCACTCACTCTCCTTTTTTTCTGTTATGTCTACCATTTCAGTCCTTAGAGTCTTGAAACATGCCGTTTGCTTTATTCTTCCGTTGGCTTTTTTTGTTTGTTTGTTTGTTTTTGAGACAGAGTCCTGCTCTGTCACCAGGCTGGAGTGCAGTGGTATGGTCTCTGCTCACTGCAACATCCCTGCCTTGGGTTCA